GAAATTATAGTGCAAAATTAATTATATTATATTATTATATCTTTATATTTATATAAAAATAAAATATCTCTCTCAATATATATATATATATATATGTGTGTGTGTGTGTGTGTGTGTATTACAATTTCACTAATTGTATTTTATTTAACTTTTTCGAATTATTTGAATATTATTTGTTGATGATTTTATTAACAACTAATATATATTTATATAAACAATATTCATATCATTAATTAAAGTACTCATACTCCCGCGCAACGCACGGTTCCCATACTAGTTTACTCTTATAATAAAAAGACAGTCTTTATCTATCCATGGGAAATCTTGGTTATTTAAATATCATAAGAATGTACAACTAGTGCTGCAAATATTGGCTATTGCAGAAGTTATGAATTGAATCCTATTAATGTGTACAAAAAGAGAGCATATGTTCCTGGGGAAAATCATATATATAAACAGTTGAAAAAGTTACAGACCATAAAAATAAAATAAAAATATGTATAGTACACACTAATGCTCATATACAATAAATAAAACACATAAAACAATATAAATCATAGTTTAAAATCAAACTTATTAGATGGTTTTAGTTGATTTTCACGAGTTTAGTTTTCATATGTATTGTTGATGAAACGCTTGAAACTGGTTTTTCACAGTTTTTAACTTTTAGACGGTTTCTATACGATTTGCAATCCACATTCATGTGTTGTATAATGTTTTTTTTAAGTATATAATATAGGAAAAAAGTTTTAAAAAAACCCAACAAACTTTCTCATTTTGAATGGTTTAGTTCATAAACTATTTTTTTGAATGAAAACATCATTAAATTTTTCATTTTAAATGATTAAGTCCCTAAACTATTTATTTTTAATGAAAAAATCATTAAACTTTTAAATTTTGATTGATTAAAACCTTGGATTTTAAAAAAATAAATAAATAAACCATCAAACTTTTACCAGTAGATTAATGTAAATTTTTTTAAGTTAAAAGGATGTAAGTAACCAGTTTTCACAAATGCAATGATTTATTTATTAAAAAATATTCAAGGACTTAATAAATCAAAATAAAAAAGTTTAATGGTTTTTTCATTTAAAAAGAGAAAATTTAATATTTTTTCATTCAAAAAAATAATTCAAAAGACTTAATCATTCAAAATAAGAAAGTTTAATAGTTGTTAATTTCTTTCAAAAAAATAATTTAATGACTAAATCATTTAAAATGAAAAAAATTGTTGGGTTTTTTTGAACTTTTCTCTACAATATACTATAAAATACCCAATATACTACTACATTATATTATTATTAAACATCAATTCAAAACAAAAATTAAGATATTGTTAAAACATTGTGGATATATTTTTAATGTTTAGTCCTACAACCACCGACCTAATAAACATGGATCCGTTACTAACACAAGTATACATGATATTTCAATATAAGTCACATGACACTAAAACCTGTATAATTTTTTTAATTTTTCTATTTTTGGCTTTTATATCTCTCTATGATCACTTATTTTTCTCCATGAAAGTCTCAGATCGATGCTACTATATTACAAAGCATTTATATAATATAAATCCATAAGATCCAAGTACATGCCCCTTAATTGATTATTTAAAAGACCAAGACACCAAGAGTTCACATTCATAAAAATAGAAAGAAGTTCCCCGTGACTGAATTTGTCTTTCTCCTCCAAGTTGGCTCAGCCAACGGTTAAG